CTGCAGGAAAACTACTCTCTGAGAAGATGACGCAATCTTTCAAAACCGAGAGCGAACGTCATCGCTGATAGAATCGCTGCATTTCGGTAGTTGAACACGTACGTTGCCAGCTGGTTCTGTGAAAGTGTATAACCTTCTCCAGGATTGGATCACGAAGCGTTTCGGCCTGCACAGCATCGGTCGTAACTGGCAGACCATGTAATACCTCGCTTACCAGGAATTTGACATCAGGTTCGATCTCAACTGAGGCTATGATGATGTACTCCTGTGCTTGCTACTGGGAATCATAGAGGCGTAACAACGCATCTGCCTGGCCCATGGAAACCGGATGTCAAAATCATAGCCCAGCAAGGTGAGGTGCTTATCGTTGGAGTCGATTGGCTGTATAGACAGGACTTCCCTTCTTCTAACCGAAAATGGCGTGCGGCGGCTTATGATCCGTCAAGAGTTTAAAGCGGCGACCATACAACATCTTGTGTAATTTCTTCACTGCAGACACTATGGCCAGTGCTTCCTTCTGGATCTGACTGTAGTTTATTTCGGGTTTAGTGCTGTCTGTTAGCCAAACCTCAATAAAGTGCACACTGCCGTTTTCCGTCTTTGACGAGGATCGAAGACTCTAAATGGAATAGGATGAACTGACGTTATCCCTTTGGTTAGACATGCACCTGTCGATTGACCGGAGTGACGCGTTGCGAATGCGTGTGAGTTTAAACTAGCAGACAAGCAACCAGTAAAGCGAGATGGAGGCGGACCCAGAATTATTGGGTTGTAAACGGGGGATGAATTTGTAATTGGAACGAGACCATAAGGATGAATAAGCGCGCGTGGAGGACTAAGAAGGTGGGATGGCGCAGCATCATCCTCACTCCTATCCACTCTGCTTGGTGCAACGGATAGGGCGCCGTTTATTATTCGGTGTGACGGTTTGGGCATTAATAGATTGAAGCGTAAGTCATTGAACTTTATTGCATGGGCAAGATACTGTCAGTTTACCCAAACCTAGACAAAAGAACAACTAGGGTTCTCAACCAAAGTCTTTGTTTGAAAAATACCGCACGGCAGCACGGTTTCAGCACTGGGCTATTGAGTCCGTTATGCCGATTAAGGAGCATGGCATGGAGTTGGGCTAGCCTGTCTAGTATTAATTGCTCTTCAGATGCGAAAACACCATCCAGCATAGCTCAATGGCTCGTTGAGACACACAAACCATCGAGCTAGGTTTACGTCAAGTCTCGTTGCAATGATTAAAGCTCAGCACTCTCCACGTATGTATCCTTTTTAATCACTATGTTTGAAATTTCTAGCTGCCACTAACAGACTCCGTTGTCTGCCACTTCATTGGGGCTGCTTCACTGACCTAGGTGCTTTCTTCTATTTCCCTTTATTTTCTTCGGGACTGCTCTTCATACTATTGGTATTCTGGTTTGTTATTTTTGTTCTGTTAGGGGAAGCGTTAGCTTTTTTACTCTACATTCTAGCCTAGGTGAGTCGTACGGTGATATCCCTGAGCTTGCGTCTAAAGAATGCATTTTAGCATATTTGCACCTTCGAATACATTTCGATCGTGTTTTGGTTTCTGAACTTAATGACTTAGTTGGAAGGCATCACTTGGCACTTAGGAGGCTCGCATTTCTATTCTCTACCTCTTACCATATTCACCTAAAGAGCCCTAACGAGAATAATCCGTACCAGAAATATCACTGCTTAAAATGACGTAAGTCTCGTTTGACGTGCCTCAAGTGTCCACTTGTGATTGTGTACGGCACTCTACACAGTCCCACCGGCTTAGACAAACGTCGCTTTCGGAGCTCGCTACTCCAGCGTCATTGGTATCAACAGCGAAACACAAGGTCCCGATCCGGTTCCCAATCGTGTCCCCAACCGTGGACGAAAGTGTCCACGAAGTACATTGTTAAATATAGGTCACATCGTACATGTTCCTGTGGAGCTCAAATGACTATGTGAGCTGCTATCGTTTGGGAATGAGGTGATGTTTGCGAGGCAGATTCTTTGCCCCATATGTGACAAACAATCATATTTCATTGTTGGCTATGCATCAAATACATTTCACATGTACACTATCAATAGGTGATGACAGGAAACGCACCGATAATGTCAAAAGTAAATTGAGAAATTTCTTTCCGATAGATCCCTTCGGGCAATTACAATTATGAGTTTCATAACCATTTGTGTAGTAGCTATTGATAGCGATGCGACACAAAGTCGTGAATGCTGCGATCAGATGAACGGTGGCAATCTATGTCTGTTTGAACCCAGTACCACTGACCACTATGTCAGAAGTCAGGTGACCAGGCTAGGGCCACGGTAGGGTTAAACTCTGCATAAGTGCACGCTGTTTACACAGTTCTGGTTTCAGTCGCTGAATCGCAATAGCTTCTGTTGTGGCCAGTAGACAACGTTTTACTGCTACATACACTATTTTGAAGGTCTCTTTCGTTTGTATGTCATGTCCGCTATCTACTAGGTGTTCTTGGATGGAGCTGTAGACATTTCTGGTGGTACCACGTTGTAATGAGGCAGGGCAGTGTTCCGCTATCCGCTTTGACAGACGTCTGGTCGTGTGTCCGAGGTATCTTGCATCACTGGTGCAAGTGAACTGGTATAAGACATAGGATTCGGATTAGGCCGCAATTCTGTCTTTTAGACGGTTGGTGATGAGCGGAACGGTTTTGGCATGAATGCGGACTCTGGCGGCCGGGTACATTTGGTTTAGCTCAGAAGTCAGTTTCCTGCTCAATAGTTTGAACTGTGTCTCCTTTGAAAGGCACTGAGAGGAACATATCTTTTCTTCTCACGGCCATTTTCGGCTGAGGCTCAGCTCGGAGCTGTGGATGCTTTTTGATGAAAGCAGTCGGGTACCCGTTGCTTTCCAATGTCTTGAGTATGAAATTCTTTTCCGCTTCCAGTGTCTCAGGACTGCAAATCCTTGTAGCCCGATAATACAGGCAACGTAACAAGTTTCATTTGTACTTTATCGGTACGAAACTCTGGAATTGTGTGTACTGACCTACCCAGGTTGGCTTGCGGAAAACGTTTCTCTCAAGCGATTCTTCCTCTTGTCGTCGCGACAAAACATCCAAAAAAGGCAGCTTACTGTCCGCTTCAATCTCGCAAGTGAATTTCACCGATGGGTGCGCGTTTTTAAATTGATCCAACAAGTGTACATGCTAATAACCTTGTTAAGGGAGCCCCTCACAAAAGCCATTTCCTTGCCGGTAGCTCAAGTAGAAGCTAGGACCAACCAGTTGAAGCACACTAGTCAAGAGCTAGTCAATAAGAGCATCTCTCCGTTGGAATCAGCCATTGATAGCATTTCCATCTTGAAACTGTCCAACGAAAGCATTCACCAATATCTGGTGGCTTCTGGCAACACGGCTTGCTTCTGGGGCAATTCTGTTGAGCTATATGATCAGAGCTATTTCGATTGCTGTATTTCCTCCATGGAAAGCTTTGACGAGTCCTCCGTCTTTTGCTATGATAAGTAGCTGGACCGTGATTTGCGTATCTGTAACGTCTGTTTGTGCTATCAACGGAAACACAACTAGTGCCGCTCCCGAGGCATGTGTACGGTTGTGAAACCTGGCCCCTTAGATAAACGGACATAAAGAGACTAGTTACGTTCCACCACCGGTGCCTTCGCAGTTTGGCTTATCTCTTGTGGGAACACCGCGTTAGCCTCGTTTATGGTACAGGAAGAAGTGAACCGCTCGGCACCGTTATATCACACACCGGACTCCGATGTCTGTTCCACTTGTTGTGCAGGCCAGCCCACCGACTCCCTCGACGTACGTTGTTTGCTCGCCGTGGGTCTGGATTGAAGAAAAAGAGAGGTGGCCAAGCTATAACTTGGTCAAGAGAAATGAAGCCCCTTTTTCGAATTTGGCCGCGGCTGGAGCTTCTCGGTTCCCTGGTTGGGGTCCGAAAGACGATGAACACGTTTGGCTGGATACACGAGTTGACATGGCTAGGAGTCGATCTCAATAGTGTTTGTGTTGTGAGTTTCTTTGTCCCTACCCGTTCCGCTTAGCTTCCCATCCAACCACGAACTCAGTTCAATCTGCATAATATAATACTCCTTTTTGCGGCACAATAGTCGGCTGTTAGCTCTCCGGAACGATATCCGTCCGTTACTGGTGACTCAGCCGTTGTGTTTTTGTTGCATTTTTTCTTTGCTAAAGTATTGCGGCACAATGGCTGAGGTGTTTTCCGCCTCTAGCTAACTTGTATTCTATAATGAAGATGATTGCTTGAAATCCATAATCTGTCGCCTAAATTTGAGTGCCCTGACACATTATAGCAGACCGCGCACGACATCCCATCAACCATTGTTGAATGATGTTCGTTCGTCATCTGTGAAGGGCTACCAACTCATATCCGCTCCATATTGTTTCACAACAAGCTATCTTGTGAGCCACAGGTCTTTTGTATTTTTCTAACCACTTACGTTGACTTACTCATATCCCTCCTGCGTCCGTTACCTGCGTACCTCATACAGTGGATTGATACACCACCGTTTATGGTGCAATCGTGAGCTCAGTGGCGCCGTGGAACATCTCACTTCTGATTTCTCGCATTATTGTTATCGATGTTGTCACTATTATGTTGGCGACGTATCATCCGCACGTCATTACACCGATCTTAGCTACCTGAGCGGGCTAATGCAAGTGAACGTGGTCTTATCGATCCTGTTTCTTGTGCTCACCTCACCTCACCGAACCGTATACTTAGACCATCACTTTAAATAGGTGAATTTTGCCCATCCTTCATCTTTTGTTTGTCATTGTATTTTACCCGCCTGACTGGTGATGGTGGTGGGGTTTAGGCACACCTTAAATGATTTGCAAACTTCTCTATCTCGTCAGAGCGATTGTGGTGCGCTTAGATGTCTGTAACTATTTATCACCGTTGTGTTATGGTCACATCGCGCATCTCACTCACACTTCACTGTCTTCTTTGTCATGTCAACTATCACTCAGAAGATAGCAGCAAGAATACTGTCAAGCACGAAGTTGAACAAGCTCTCCAGGTGCAACGGGAAGCGGAGGAGCTTCGGGAGCGCTTTACTCAGAAAGTGGTCACCGTCGAGAAGCCAACGGTTATAGCAAGTAAGCAGTTGTCCAGGTTACTCCTATACTGTTCTACTAGAGTTCTCCTCCAAACTCCCTAATTAGATCACCTGAACTCACCGGCTACTCAACCGGAAAACAAGCTCTGTTCCCAATCCTTTCTCTATATTATTCTGTTCTGTTGTCATATTTCTATCAACCTGATGCCGGTGCAATGTTGTCCCATCTAGTCCTGGTCAAATTGTACCACAGCTTCATGCTTCTACTTATCAGTATTCTTCCTTTTGGAAACACGAATTTATTTTCTTTTGCCCATCTTTTATTGTGCCTTTCAGGAGTACTCTTTTGTTGTCCCGCTCTATTCGCTTCATCTGTTATTGGCTCCCGTGACCATGTCGACCAGGCTATCCACAATTACTTGATTGCAGAAGCCGAGAGCAATTTCGCCGAGGCTGCCACGTTAATTTTAGCCCGAGGATTGGAGAACAGCAAACCCCCCACGTCACCGGACATTCCACTAGCTGAGCAACAAACCGCATCGGAATGGCGGGAGAAACGGCAGCAACATTTCCTTCGCATTTTAACAAATCTACTTCAGTCACCAGAAAATCCAACTTTTCGGCGGCTCCGTATGGGTAATAACCTTGTCGCCGATCTGCTCTCGATAGGCGGAGCTGAGATGTTTTTTCGTGTACGTTGTTTTACTATGTGTTGCGCGTTTTTGTGCAGGGTGTTGTTTACTCTCTTGCTGTCTTAGTAACGTCGGAGGATTCCGTTATATCAAGATTTAGTAACGCACTTTTACGCCACGCTTTTCCCCTTTCGCTGATGAGAGAGCTATTTCAGCCTACCCTATCTACCAGTTTTATCAGTTCTCTGTCGTTTTCCTCACTCACTTCAATTTCATATTATGATGAAATCAGCCAACACCTTCAGATCCTCCAGATTCTAAGCTCAATTCGCAGCCATTAATCTGAACTGAGTAGTTAGCTAATCCTCGATAACCTAGGGCTTTCGCGATCTTAGTTGCCACGGGATTCAGCGTTAATTTCAACCAATTCAAACAAGATCTTTTGTATTGTTGTCTTTCTAAGCTTGGATTTATGACCAATTCTATCTCTACTTAAGGCGCTGGATCAACAACCATAAACCTGGCCTGTGCGCAGCAGTGACGTACAAGTCAGCGGAGAGTGAGCCGCTCTGTATAACATCCACTAACTTGACGATCTCGGTCCTTTCTCTCTTCTGTCCCCCACGGCATTCGTTAGAGCAGGGCTGTAGGCAACAATCCCACAGGGTACTGTCTACCGCCACCAACAAACTTCGAATGCACGCAATGACCTTTCTAGCTCTTTTTCGGACGTGTGATTGTTCTTTGAATGAGTTTCTTTTTCCGTTGACCTCGACGTACTCTCCTCAAATCTTCTACCATTTCCAGGGCGAGACCTGTCCTGGCGGCAGTAACAATTTACTCTACCAAATCTCCGTGTGTGTAATGTGTCCTGTGTAACTTTTTACCACTTGTTAAACGGGTAGTAGTACAGACTTCATATACGCTTGCAAGCTAGTTCCCTTGAACAACAAATAGCACTGAATAAGTTGCGATAGATAAGGTACGTACTACCCACCGTATGTACGGTACGGAGGGTACGGTACTACCCGTAGGGTTAGAGGAAGTCCAACTTCACCTGCTGTCTTATTCAACTTTAGCTGTCTGATCTCACCTTCGACTTCTGCGCAAGAGGGCAGCTCCGTGGGGATGGCCCGGAGAAGAGGGTGATCATTGGCCGATGGAGAAGCTGGCAACTCTGGTTGAACTGCTCTACAAAGTGTTCAGCCCAACGCTCCAAGCGTTTTGAGATGTTGTAGACTGACTGTCCGCTCTCGTCGCACACAGTCTCGCTAAAACACCAGATCTCCTGCTGCTTGTTTCGCGTATGCAACGGAATAACCTCCAATGGTTACCAAGGGCAGCGGCTATTTCCATCTTCTATGCACCGTGAGACCACTTAGCTTCGAGGTTTCTCTTCACGCAAGCACGAACTTTTTTTCCTGAAGTCTTTACGAGTCTCGTTGTATTCATTTCTAGCCTGAATGTATCAGCGAGCATCCAGACTTTCCAGTGATTGTGTAGAGACGCAATCTACTGGCTGGCTATCAGTTTTATTACAGGGAGACATGCCTGCCGCTCAGTATGTCTTTCGGTTATGCGATCAGTGACCAACTGCGCTCGAATATCAGCGCAGTTTGATCTACATTCAGAACAACTGGCTTCACCAGTTGACAACTGTCTATGCGCTCACAGTGCCCTTGTGGACGTCCGCCGAAATGCACTCTCAGGTCGACGCATACAAACACGTAGTCGGAGTTCACGCTTGTGTTCCAAATCGAGCGACTGTTTTGGGCACAGCCTCTCCAGCGGTAACTGATCGCGATGTGATCGATTTGCGTTCATGCCTGCGCCGAGGCTTGTGGGCAGCATGTCACTCTCCGGCGGGTGCTGTGTCAGAAGTTAGTGCTCACGAGAAATATATGACCATCTTCACACATGTGTACCAACCACTCACTGTTATCATAACGAAAGCCTACACCTTTTTGGCTGCGCTAATGCATCTCATGAGTGGACATTTTTCCAAATTGATCCTTCAGGCCACTAACCATCGCTACCGTATTAGTAATTCTTTTTGAACTTGTAGTTTGTTCCGTTAGTAATGGAAGTCATCTTTCGCGGAGTCAGCGTTGCGCTTTGTGAGAACGTAGGCAGCAATGACGAATAGGCACTTATCGGACCCGGGCGACTTCGAAGCTTTGAACGACCCAGCTAGTCGGGTGGGGCACACCCGGCTGCTGATTAGTATCCATTCTACTTGAGCAGTTTCAACCACACTTGACCAGGAAGCCGCATTATCTTCGGATAGACGCGTTGGAAAGGTGTCAGCAATGTCGCATGAATACAACTGTAGAATGAGTATGGAGATAAAATCCTGCATGCGCGTTTCAGATAAGCAACAGTTATCGATTGATGTACTCATGAGTAGGGGATTTTGATATAGACAATTGAGGTTCTTCGCAGCCAGCTTCCAAATCAGATAGCCGTCCACATGCCCGGAAAAACATTACACTGCTGTTTCAGCCTGTCGGGCATCGTCAGTAGTGCGCATCCATCGGATCCATCAGGATTCGAACTCATGACCACCAGTGGCTTGAACCGCCAGTCAGCAGCTTATGCCACTGGGCCACGGGGGACGGATTCGGACCGTCATGGCATGCAAGTTACGAACGTTGCAGAGGACAGGGTTGGCCCCGATAAACCCGACGTCCCATAACCATAGCTATGTACGACAAGGCATTTAGAGACTGTTAGGGCCATCCCGTGCATGTGGACAACTACCTGCTTTGGTAGCTGGCTGAGAACCTCAATTACTGATATCAAGGTCCCCTACTCATAAGTACATCAAAATCAAACCTCCCTAACAGTTTCTAAGTGCTATGTCGTACATAGCTACTGTTAGTGGATGTCGTGTCTTTCGGAACCAACCCTGTCCTCTGCAACGTGGAGGATAAGACGCGCTATGTCACAGTTAGCTTGTAAATCATGACGGTCCGAAGCTGTCCCCCGTGGCCGAGTGGCATAAGCTGCTGACTGGCGGTTCAAGCCGCTGGTGGTCATGGAATCGAATAATGATGGACCCGGTGGATGCCCAACAGGCTGCAGTCTAGTGCTTTTCCGGGCATGTGGACAACTATCTGATTTGAAAGCTCGCTGCGAAAAACCTCAATTAATGGTATCGAAATCCTCTGCTCATGAGTACCTCCAGATATATCCGCCCTAACAGTTTCTAAATGCTATGTCGTACATAGCTACTGTTATTGAACCTCGTGTCTTTCGGGGCCGACCCTGTCTTCTGCAACGTTCGTAACTTGCATGGCAGTGGAGGATAAGACACGCTATATCGCAGTTAGCTTGTAAATCATGACTGCCCGAAGCTATCTCCAGTGGCATAAGCTGCTGACTGGCGGTTCAAGCCGCTGGTGGTCACGGGTTCCAATCCTGGTGGATCCGGTGCATGCGCGCTATTGACGATGCCTAACAGGCTGACACTGCAGTCTAGTGTTTTTCCGGGCATGTGGATATCTATCTGATTTGGAAGCTGGCTGCGAAAACCCCAATTAAAGTTATCGATTACTTGAAGACCACCACCACGGTGGTACTTCTGTTTAATAAGCTGCATCTTATCCTATTAAAGCAATGGGTAAGCGATACGGACACTCCCCAGTCGCTGTTTGGCAACACTCCTCTTTTACAGCTCTAACCGATCCTCTGTACTTGGGTCTTCTAATTAGCTTTTATCATTTTCTTTGTTTACTTGTTGACCGTCTACTTCGGCGGAAACCGCTTGGTTGTCAATCTATGATGTATTCAAAAGGCAGATGAATCAGTCGTGTTGGTGCGCCCTGATATGGGGCGGGAATCCTTGATGTACTTCTTCAGGGATCTGACTTGCAACGTCAGCGCCCGCAGGCCTCATCGTTATTTCTGCTATAGTTCAATTGCTCTGGCAGTATCCCAAGCCGCTCTTAGCCGAGTGCTGCAGTTTCGAGAGTAATGGCGCCTTACCATTTCGTTTGTTGCCTTCCCGTGCCTTTTCATCCGATGAGGTTACCGTTTTGTCTTTTTCCGTTGTTTACGTGCTTGTACTTCCTCCAGTTTTCCTCTTTACTGTTAATTTTTGTCCCCATGGCAAATATTTCCATGACATCTCTGGGTCCAACACATTTCGGAGACTATTTCATAACTATCCAACTCAACTGTACGGGACCATTCGTTGGCGTTCGGCTTGTTATGTTCATGCGTCCTGGCCTCGAGTTCCTGATCACTACAGTGTTCCAGTCCGAGTCCAATGGCTTACGGGGGCGTGTCCGCATCATCATCATCATCATACACGTTAGCTAGAGGTGGGGAACACCTCAGCTACTGTGCCGCAATACACAGAAAAAATGAGAGAAAAAAAAAGAATTCAACTGGGGCAAGCCGGCTGAGCTACCGGTAACGGATGGGCATCGTTCCGGTAAGCTATCTGCCGGCTACTATGCATCAAAAACAATTACTATGCAAAATCATATAAGGTTAAATAATGAGATCGTGGTTGGAGAGGGAGGCTAAGAGGGATGGGTGGGACAAAGAAACTCACAGCACGAACGCCACTGAGGTCGGCTCCTAGCCATATCAGCAAGTGTGTCCAACCAAACGTGTTCATCGTCTTTCGGACCCCAACCAGGGAGCCGAGACACTCCAACTGAGGCCAGCTCAGAAGTGAGGGCCTTCATTCCTCTCGACCAAGTCATCGCTTGGCCACCCCTCCTCTTCTTCCAACCACACCCCCGGCGCGCAAACAACGCACGTCGCGGGAGTCGGTGGGCTGGCATGCATAATACGTGGCCGAGCCATCGGAGCCTGGTGCGTGAAATGACGTTGCTGAGCGGTTCATTTCCTTTTCCTGTGCCATAAACATGGCGTCAGACACTCCCGTTACTCACGCGGTGTTCCCACCAGTTGTGAGCTAAATTACGAAGGCACCGGTGATCGAACGTGGGCGGGTCCGCACAGTATATGTATGCTATACTGGCGTACTGCTGATACCTTGCCTGCTTCTTTGGATTCACTGCTCTTTAGCTCTCAAACTTGTTGCTATCCTTACATTTGACCCTAACCTAGTTTGATTCACCCGGTGCGGGATGGACTTTTAAAGCACAACAATACGGAATACATTTCCCTTTGCCGTACTGCACATGCGTCCATTTCGACCCTTCATTTCTAACCATTGCGACTGAGTAACCTCAGTCTGGATTTGTACTTCGAAGTGGGCGATGTGATTTGTGACACATTCTAATTGTTCCGAGTCTCAGTCGAAAACGCCGAAATGTTCTTCACTGATAATACCTCATGCGCAGAGAAGCCAATTGAATTCGGATCTGTATGGTCTAAGTGACCTGAGCGACAGCTGAGGTTGGAGACGAAGGCGCGACCTCCCTCGATGGCACTGTGATCCAGAAAAGCGACATTCTGGCCGATAGCAAAGTTCGTTTACTGAATCTGTTAAAGGCAACTCATGCATTCTCCACCATCGTATGTACGGCCCAGTAATATAGCAGCGTAATACATAAACTATAAAGAAAGCTGGAGTCACATGGTTTCCACATGGCGGTAGTGTCCTGGGGAAGATTCTCTTGAGGTCGGTGTGGCTTGGTGCAGCAATCACCGCAGTGTCCTGAGGATAGCTCATTGGGTGGAGACTTGAGATGGTAGGTACACAGCAGCGGTTTCAATGAGGAGTGTTCAGCTGTTGCCTATGCAGTTTGAGTCGCTGCATGGCGACGGTATTTCTGAGGTGAACTTGGCCAAACTCTGTGCAAGTTTCTCGAACCTGTGCGATCTCGGAAGCAAGTGCACACTATCCGGTTACACTTTTGACTTCGTTGATGGGTTACTTGCAGTTCCTTACAGTTCAGACTGCCAACTTGGCTCTATGCATATAGGTGCAGCAGATTCAATGGGCTTTACACACTCCGCCGAAACAATACTGGGGACAATGGCAATACTAATTGCCATTAAATACATTTCTTCAAGAATTCAAACTTAGATCGAATGGGACAGCACAATGGCTTTCTAGACCGCATCATCTTTCGTGGTCTATCTAACCGCTGCTTTCGCCGCCCCCGAGGCGCCATCCAGGAGGGCGACTACCAGCAATCTTCGTTAGCCTTTATGCCCTTTTGCCGTGCCATGAACTGACTGCCTCGGGGTTTCGCCCACCTGGGCGTGGTGTTGGCAACCGTCCTGTGGGATTGCGGGACACATAGCGGAGCCAGCGAATGCTATTCGGGTTTGACAGGCACATTGCTGACTCTGCTGCCGAATGTGAGGTGACGAGCTTCAACTTTACTCTCCTTGCTGTCACCAGGTGTGCTTAATGCTTCGCGGGTAGCGGTGGTCAAACACGGTCTCTCTCTTAACGTCCCCATTGGGCAGCTACCAGGATCCTGATTCATACAATACTTAACACTGGCCGCATCGCGACGTTGTAAAAGTTCACCTGTGTCTTGCAACCGATCGGACGCTTTGATCGGTTGTTCGGTTCTAGCGAGAACTCCATACAGCGCCTACCTGAAGCAGAAATTCTTTTCTACACTCGATGTCTTCCTTGATCGTATCTCACCAGTCATGTTTAGTGAAAATAGAGAATAAAATGTCACAATTGCCGTGCGCCGCTGTATCCGTTCGTTCAGCACCGGGCTGGAGGCGACCGCTTAGTGGTCAGCCTTTCACTTGGCGACGGCACATGAAATCGATGTCGCCTTTAGCCGCCGTTGGACCTGTACGTCTCCCTGGATGGGGACCCAAGGATGAGGAATGCCAGTGGCTCGAAGAACTGGCCCGCAGTCGTAGTGCTTTACAAGTTTAATACTTACAGCATAGAAAATGACAAAAACTTCCGTGTATGTAAATCACAAAATGTTTCGTCCCATTTTCGGCCAAATTGTAATTTCATTTGATTCCCATTGCTTTTCCGATAGCTCCGGTCCACTTATTGGACTGTTATCGAGAAAAACATGGGGCTCAAAGCGAAATACAATTTGCTCAAGAATAGTATGGAACATTTTGTGTTTACTTTTCATACACTGCTTTTTCTTCCATTGTTCCATGTTCCCTTATTGGACTGTTCGCGGCACAATAGCTGAAATGTTACCCGCCTCAGGCTAACGTGTATGATGACTGACTGAATATTGGACTTGATTTCATATATTACTATTGTCTATTATCGTTATCACTCTATTGCGGCGTTTGGCGCTGGTGAGGGCAATTGCTCTGTGTGCTCACGACGTCAACTCAACATTTGTTCACTCCGTTACTGCAGTTCACCCGTCTTTCCGTCACTTCTGCTATAGCCGTTATATGTTATCCTATCCTCGCTGTGTTCACTCACACATTCCCTTCCATATCTATAGGCTTGCGGTTTCACCAAGCAAATGTTACCCGTGCAGAAACCTGCCGGGACCAGTGATGATGATCAGCCAGGGGATCCCCCATCAACCGAGCCTTTTTTGGTCATCTCAGAGGAAGCCGCTCAGGATGCGCAACATTTGCAGCACATGTTTGATTTGTTGAACACAGCTGAACCCATTTTACCGGAGCTGTTTCGGGATACTCAGGTTTTCAAGGTTGGTTTTTTTTCTTGGTTATGATACACTATGCTGATTCTCATCATGCGTGTAACCCCCGAATTGTCAAATGGGCATCAGGAAGGTTTGCTCTCGGCGAATAATGTCTTGTTACTTCCCACTTTTCACTCGGTCATGTCAGCTGCATCGTTCCTCGACCTTGCGTTTCAACTTGAAGCGACGTAACCTTGTCAACCATACCAGTGTCGGCAGCCTGTGTAGTGATTTTCGGTCAGCTACTAGAGACGTTACCATTTTTGCGCTGGAATCCAGTGTGCTAAGTAACTCTATGACTTGCTGCCTTCCCTACTATGACACTTCTTCATACTTTAGAATGTTGCTTCGCTGCCTGCCATGCGACCACCACCGCCAATGTTGCGTGTGCCATGCACACTGCGTGGTCACGCGCATCTACGCAGATGCGAACCGGTGACCTCGGAAGCAGACACCTCATCGACTACCTGCCGACTTTGGTGTTGCCTGTCACTAATACTGCGGTCGACTAACGTAAGTGAGCCTTTCGTTGGAATTCGATATCCACAGTTATACTTTAGTATGGCAAGACGGGAACCAAACACTGTGGACCACTTAAAGGATTTCCGTAGCCACTGGTAGCACGCCTGCTCTGGATACTGCCAACATCGCCCGGTCCCGTACGTAAGCTCAAACCAATGACATCCCGGTTGCAAAGCAGCCGCCTTGTCCTTTCAGTCGCTGATGGGCGTCCGAGTTCCTGTTAGGCTCGAAATTCGAATCCAGGGCGTATAGGTTGGAAACCATGCACCACGAAACCATCAACCAAAGCGCATACTTATATATTCTACTCAGCGCTTGGTTGTATGCGTGATGTTTTGACCCGCAGATACTGACAAACCAATATTTGATCCATGCTTGGAACAGAACATAAGCTTTCTCTTCAACAGCGTAAACGAACCCACGATTGAAGAACTGGAACCCGAATCAATGGCGACTGAAAAAGATTGAGGGTAAATATTTCACTCATCTCATCAGAAGTATGTCTACGCGTCGCATTTCAGCGATACGCTATTGGGGATGTCGCGTTTTCCTAATGGTCGTTCTTTTACAGATGATATGGAATAGATCTAAACGCGTCACGCATGTTTAGAGTACGTTCTGGAACATCTTATTCGTTTGTTCAGCTTATGCATTGCGTACGTGGAGGTCACGATTCTATCTCCCAGATGGTCATGATGACCTGACTGCTAACCCAAGGATTCACCTCAAAGTAATCCGTAGCTCAGAGTGCGTTTGGATGCCAAAAAAGCCAACAATGTCATCTGAACTGTTGTGATAGTCGTTGAGGCGTTGACTCTGTGTAAGAGTGAAGACATCGACCAACAATCTCTATGCTCCAAGTTCGAATCCCAGTTTAGCCATCACTAAGTAAATAGACTATGGATATATCCGGACAATGCACAGTAGATCTAACAACGCCTTCGGGGCGTGTTGCATTGGTCTGCATGCACCGACCTCAAGTGCAATATCCGTGGTTCAGGTAACTTTGTTGCTGCTACCGTCTCCAAGACTACAATCGGGAAGAATGCGTCCGAGCTGTTTACTTGAAAATGCCGTTTTCTTGAGCGTCCTAAGGTTACCGGGTAGTGACGGCTGGACCCCGTCCCAACGGGACTGGACCTTGACCTGGTGCGACGGTTTGCGTACCACCTTGACCCATTGAGCTATACTGGGTGGTGCCTCCGGGCCCCTCGAGAGCTACTCTTACCAGGTTGGTCAATGGTTAGAGATCAGACAAGCTCAGTCTCCTGCTCCTCCAGGTTGAAGGTTTGAAATGGGATGGTGTCCATTTCTATAAAACTAAATCCATTGGCTTTGGAGGAGGATCCTAATCGTTCTTCTATCTAGATCTGGACTCCCTGGCAGTATCTCAGCCCACATACAACCGTGTCAATTTCTCCAAACTACATCTTGCATCGGCCGTCGCGCAGATTATCAAGGGTCGCCTTATCTGCTGCATACAGCAAGGCGGATAAGCGAACACATGCTACTGCTGGCGCCTCCCTTCTTTCTTTTCCACCTTTTTCTCTTACTCCCATCCCGACCCCATTACTAACCTTTCTTCTATAATTCCCAGCTTAATTGACAGCAACCGAAGTGCCACTGAAGTAGAACCATCTGCAGCCACCTTCCCTTATAAGGCCACGTTGTCACATTTTGTTGGCGACGTTCAGCTTTCGCACTCTGAAGCACGTTGGACACACCGGGTGTTGATGTGTATTGCGCATCCGGAACTAGGATCAATACCCTTCACGGGGTTGTTGAATCAATTACGCCCAGCTTGTCGTCTCGCCATTGGTTGCACACATCCGGATACACTGATGCGTTGGCCTCTGATCAAGCTGTGGTAGGTATCGTACTCAGCCCCAAGGCTAAGTCATCGTTGGTAGACTGGATTCCGGTGAACAGCCGTTTTTGTGCAGTCAGCTTAACGACATCGACCAAGGTTGATTCATGAACCAGTACAAGACGCTGTTTGTTTGTGATTTCCGCTTGCGCTTCCACCGACTGCTTTTCACATGCTGCCAAAGGCACATTTTGTTACGAACTGAACACATTACTATGCAGTGATACCAATTCAGATATCATAGTATTTGCAGGGGATATTAATGCACAAGTAGCGCGTCTGCGCTCTTCAGCAACTCAGCTGCGTGGTACTTAGGTTCTTAACTCCGAACGGACTGACAACGGTGAGCGTCTGCTGCAACTGTGTGCGGAGCACCGGTAGTTTCTCAGTAGCACTGCTTTTAGACACAGTGGGCGCTGAAGTGCTACATGGCGTCCTCCTGTAGCTGGCCAGCGATGGACCCAAATTGACCACATTGCTATAAGTTACATGTGGCGTGGTTCCATTCTGGATTGCCGCTCGTACTGGAGTACCTGCGTCGACTCTGATCATACCTTGGTACGCTGTCGTTTCTCCATGAACTTTACCGGAAGGCGCACCGTGCATCTCCTTTTATTGGCAACTGAGAAATTGTCACAGCCCTCGGTCAGGCAAGCCTATCAAGACGCACTGCGTACCGAACTTTCGCTGTCTTGTCCTAATGACACTGCACTTCAATGGAATAGGATCTCGGTCGCCCATGCACGACGCAGGAGCATCTACTTGTGGCACTACCAGTCATCACCGCACCAGTCATTTGATATCCGAGAGGTCGGTGAACCTGTTGGAATCCAGAAGCAATCCCGGTTGGCTCTGAGCACAATAGGACTAGATGGGCTATTAGGCGCGAATAAAAGCGGAGCCTAGGTGCTGACAAGAAAGCCTGGTGCACCAGTAGGGTTCAAGAAATGGAGGAATCGGGGGCGGTAGGCGATTCTCGCAAGCTCTTCCAGCTGATCCGCATCACTGGTACCAGAAAACCAGGCGTCAGTGAGACAATCAGGGACAGCGCGGGTGCACTGATACACAATAAGGAGCGCCGTATGGCTTGTTGGGCGGAACACTTTCAAGATCAGTTCAGCTGGCCCCGTGCCAGCTAACTGGAGTGAATCGATTCTAGTGGCAATATACAAGGAGGGCGGTCGCACGGACTGTGTAACAATTCTCGTTCGTCACCTCACTGTGGAACAGGAATCTCGGATTAGGGAGGAACAGGCAGATTTCCGCGCAGGCCTTGGCTGTGTAGACCATATATTCACTGCTGCAGGTGCTAGAGCAGCGTCACGCACACAGCGGACCGACAATAGCTGAATTCCTCGACTTAAGTGTGCATTCGACTCAGTAGATCGATGCATTTTTGTTAGAAATACTTGCGCGGAAACGTGTTCCCGCGAACTTTGTGAATATTTTGCGTGCTCTTTACTCGAATACTACAGGCCACGTCAGGGTCTATGGTGACCTGTCGGATGACTTTCCAAAAACAAGTGGAGTTTGTCAGGGTTGTCCGATTTTATCACTTTTGTTCAATATAGTCGTGGACTCCATCATGGAGTCCTTACGGAATGTTACGATGCAAGCCTTGAGGTGCTTCCTTGTGAAAAGTTAGTTCATCTTGCTTATGCGGACGATATTGTCTTGCTGTTTAACGATGTTGGGGCGGCGCAACCAACTCTAAATAACCTCTCTGGGATGGACCTATCATTTTACCTGCGCTTCGCACCTTCAAATTGCAAAGTGGTGTTGCAGGATCAACAGCTTCTTGATGACTCCTTGACCCTTGTTAACGAGGGGCTCGAGGTAGTTGATCGGTTGTCTTACCTAGGCAGCTGCATCAGCAAAGATCGGTGCATAGCAGCTGGAATCAGTTCACGCGTTACAAAAGTCAGAAGTGCCTTGAAGCTGCGACAGCTTTGGTGACAGAACGCCATGTATACAAGACCACAGTGAGGGTCGTCCTGCTCTATAATAGTGAGACTTGCTCTCTTCGGTCTGATGATCTGAGGCGCCTTCAAGTCTTTGATCATTGTTGTCTTCTAAGCATTGCTGGTGTTGGGTAACATCAGCGTGTCTGCAACGATGATGTACGTATGCGACTGCAAGGCAGTGATACCCAAGCTAGTACTTTAGAACAATAGATAGCACTGAATAAGTTGCGTATTGCGTATGCCTGGTCACGGCTTACCGGTGAGGCCCTTGTTTTGTCTGCCAGATGTAGGGTGGCGCAAGGCTTGAGGTGGACAAAAGTTGACCTGGCAGCGGAAAACGAAGTTACTGACGATCAAACTGGGTGCCGTTGGTCCGTCTCGCCTTCCAGGCTGGAGTCCACGTGACTCGCCTTGTGCTTGACTCGAGACTCTATAGGACTTGGTTCGTAGTCCGCACCATTGTCACGTCTGCTGCCGTCTCCTAGTCGGATTGCCTGTTTAAAGTGTGTTGAGTTGTCTGCGGAGTAATGGTTGTTTATGACGCGTGGCAGTGAAAGCCGCAAGGAAACTGTCTCCTGGATGCCGCTTTAGGTTAGCACGCTAGCCAGCTGTTTGTGACGGTATGTTGTCTACATAAGGTGTAGACGCCTTGA